CGAATGCCAAGGCTGCTACGGGCCCGGCCAGCGCTGCAAGACCTGTCGAAACTACCGCATCTACCTGGTAAGCAGACGGCGACACAGATGTCGGCGCGTGACGAGCGGCGCGCAGCGGTAATGCAGACGTTTGGTGCATCACTAACGGTGATGGCCCTCGCGTCGTGGTGCTGCACCGCTGTCGCCGATGTGTATGTATAATTGTATGTGTTCTGTGCTGGCCGGAGACCTTTTGCGATCAGATACGGAGTTCACCCGGACGGTTTACATAGATGTCATGCAAAACACTCCGTGTGGGTGCGCCGTATGGTTGGTCGAACATCATTGAGCAGGCTTTTTGACAATATTTTTACGGGATACCAATGAGGACCTGCCAGAGCTATGGGTGTTATGCGAGACATTTGTCTATCGATGAGTCGGAACATGACTATCGCATACGCCACGGTTTCCGCCCTTGTTTTTGGGTAGCAGGGCAGCATCGGTGTATGTAGCGTTCTTGTTGAACTAATAGCTAGATGATGTTAGTATACCCGGACAACACTACATAGACACCACTCATTGATGAATATATCACCGCCTCTTCCTCCCTGCTCTCAGGATTCGGCGGACGGCTCGTCCAACTCGTCGGCGTTCAACTGTACGACGCACTGCCCGGAGTCTCACCCGCACAAGATCTTCCCCGGGGACGACCAGCCGCCGTACTGCTCCACCGAGCCGGGCGTGCTTCCGCTGCATGGCGCCGAGGACAGTGTCACGATCATTGCCAGCTCCGTCTCCGTCACGCTGGTCTTCCTGCTCGTCATCGTCACCTTCATCATCTGCAAGTGCCGCAGCGACCGCAAGAAGGAGGACATGCTCAAGATGACGATGATGATGAGCAAGGAGGGCCTCAATGAGCCGTTGAAGGTGACCAACGTCAAGCCTAACTTGGCCAAGCTGCGTATCGTGAAGGAGATCGAACTTCGTAAGGGCGGTATTCTCGGGTTCGGTGCGTTCGGAACTGTCTACAAAGGCGTCTGGGTTCCCGAAGAGGAGAACGTCAAGATCCCTGTTGCCATCAAGGTCCTCCGTGAGGGCACGGGAGCGGACACCAACAAGGAGATTCTGGAGGAGGCCTACATCATGGCGTCGCTGGACCACCCGAACCTGCTGCCCCTGCTGGCCGTCTGCATGACCTCGCAGATGATGCTGGTCACCCAGTTGATGCCACTTGGCTGCCTGCTCGACTACGTGAGGAACAACCGCTCCAAGATCGGCAGTAAGCCTCTGCTGAACTGGTGTACGCAGATCGCTCGTGGTATGGCCTACCTGGAGGACCGGCGACTGGTCCACCGGGATCTGGCCGCCCGTAACGTCCTGGTGCAGACGCCCAACTCTGTGAAGATCACCGACTTCGGTCTGGCTAAGCTGCTCGACATCAACGAGGAGGAGTACAAGGCGGCTGGTGGCAAGATGCCCATCAAGTGGCTGGCCCTCGAGTGCATCCAGCACCGCATCTTCAACCACAAGAGCGACGTCTGGGCTTTCGGTGAGTTGAACGGAGGGAGGTTACATTTTGCTATCGAACGTGCGTCGTGCGGTGGAATTTGTTTTATCTGTGCTTATCACAGTTGGAATAGTACCCTGTAATTCTTTATTCCTGCTCTGTTGTGGGTGACGGGTTGTGAAGCTGGAGAGTCGTGGATGATTGCACTAATACGCTTTTAATGCGTTACGACAGATCCCTTTTCGAATCGTAACAGTTATTTCGTCAGCTTTATCGTTATATATTATTATTTACGTTTCATCGTTTTCCAGGTGTGACCGTGTGGGAGCTGCTGACGTACGGAGGTCGTCCGTACGAGAACGTACCGGCCAAGGATGTTCCCGACCTACTGGAGAAGGGCGAGCGGCTGCCGCAGCCCACCTCCTGCTCCATCGAGGTCTACATGATCATGATCAAGTGCTGGATGCTGGACGCCGACTCGAGACCAAGCTTCAAGGAACTGGCTGACGAGTTTGCCAAGATGTCTCGCGACCCGGGCCGGTACCTGGTCATACCTGGAGACCGACTGATGAGGCTGCCTTCGTACACACAGCAGGTGAGATAACGCGACGGCTCGACGATGTTCCCCTAATGGAACAGAGTGGTAATCCGCCGAGCGAATCACCATTTGCATATTGTATCTGATCTTTGCGACATACCATGGGTTTAGCAGAGGTATTTCTGCGGTGATTGGTGGCGGAGATCCTTCTCGGTGACGATGTACAAGCGTTGCTCATCGGCGACCCCCCTCCCCCCTCCATTACCGCTCATCTAACCATACCCCTCCCCTCGCAGGATGAGCGAGAGCTGATGCGATCGCTGGCGGCGTCTGCCCTGGACGGACCCACGGACGTACTGGTCAACGCTGGCGAGTACCTGAACCCTCAGGGTCCGACGGGTTTCAGCACAGCGGCGCCCTCACTCCGCTCCGGATACCCCGCTTCGTCGCTGGCGACGCTGCAAGACGAGCACGACGAGTGGGGCCGCGCAGCGTCGCCGGCCAGCAGGGCCATCGATCCCCGTCGGCGACCCACCGACAGCAGCAAGTGCCGGTCCGGCTCGGCGTCGTCCACCCCTGGAGACTGCCTGCAGGGACTCGGTGAGTGGAATGCAAAGATCGCAGGAGGAGTAGGGGGTGAAGGATGACAGGAAAATGACTGGCCAGGCTGTTAGTGCGATGTTTGTGATGCATTTTAAGCACCTTCGTGTATGATTATTTTAACCGTGTCATAATCATTTCTTCTAGGAACGTTAGGAACGATAATGGCCGAGTATCGTTTTCCTGTTATGGACTTTATAGCCGACATAAACAGAAAATGGCGCATTCCGCCGCCCGTGCCGATTTTCCCGTCATCACTGGGTAACTGACGGGCCACGCTCTCCGCCGGCTCAGATTGCGACCAGGTGGACAACGACTGTTTCGAGCCGGCCGGCTACTCGTCCCTGCCGGTGGGCGGCGCCGCCGGCGGCTCGGCGGCCTCCTCCGGCCAGGCCACTGTGGGTGGCCTCAAGCTGCACCTGCCGCTGGATGAGGACGATTACCTGATGCCGTCCAACGGCCAGCAGGCCGGCTACATGGACCTCGGCGGACACCAGAAAGGTAAGCAAGTTGATTGTTGTATTGACTTCCTCAGTGATTTTGTATTTTCATGATGACTCACTAGGCTGAACGACGTGCAAAATCCATGCAACGTAAGTCTGGGTGGGTTTTCTGCGAAGTAGTTTACCCGCGAGAGTAGCCATATGCAATCGATGGCGGTTTTATACCTGAGTTCTATCTGGTCTCTAACGCACGCGCTCGTCTCTCCGCAGGTGACGCCGCCTCCTCTCAGGCGAGCTGCTCGGGCGAGCACCCGTTCATGCTGAGCATGGACAACCCCGAGTACCACATGGTGGCCAGCCGAGGCCTGCTGCACGGCTCGCTGGCCGGTGGACCGCCGCACGGCTACAACCCCAACGGCTACGGCCCGGGATACGGCGCCACGGCCACCTACGCGCCGCTGTCGGAGGCCAGTGGACCGACGTACGCCTCCGGCCGCACCTCCGGCCAGCCGAGCTCCTTCGCCGGCACGCCGCCGGTCAGTGGGGCGTTCGGTGTCACCGGCGGCCCGTCCACCGGCGCGTACCCGAGCACTTCCCTGCCGGGCGGCGGGTTCCCGCACAGTGCGCCGCCCAGTGTGGCCTATCCGGCCTCCTCCGTGTCCAGTTCTGGAACGTTCGCGAACAGTGCTCCGCCGAGCGGCGCGTACCCCCCGTCTGGAGCGCTGCCGCCCGGCGGCACGTACCCCACCAACTGCTACGGGACCTCGTCACCCAACTCTGTGGGCGTGCCGGTGGCGGAGGGTGCCGCGAGGTGGGCGGCGCGGCGGGCGGCCGCCGAACAAAACTATGATTATTACGGAGACGAGCGGTCGGCAGAGCCGTCTGGAGACGCTGAGGAGTGCCCCAGTGAGACGACCGTGTGAGCGACCGGCCAGGCGGCGCCAGCGTCGCCCCAGTGTGCTGCATTGTCTGTGTATTACTGTGCCAAGTGTGTGCGGCCGGGACGGCGGTGGCGGTCCCGGCCCGCTGTTTGAAACGAAGTCGTGTGTGTCTGCTGGTCGGCTGGTGGAAACTGCGTGCCTAAACGATGATTCAGTGTTTTGCCGATCGTGCCGTTACTGTTTTCACTCCATGTGCCTTCGTCGTCTGTGCCTCGTTAATGGGTGTTTGACTTGTGACCAAGGGACTGCAGAGTGGCGGTTCAATGTGATAGGGAGTTGACATGGGCTACCGCCGTGCCGGGGATAGCAGGGATATGTGGGGGTGGGCGGGAGGGAGCAAATGATACGACAGCCTGTTTTATACAAATGTAAGACGATCCGTGCCTTGTCAATATAGTACTTTATCATACTCGTAAAACTTGTTTCCTTGTAACTGGAAAGCTATCTGCATTGGGTTTACCAGAATACACACGGCTTTACGAAGTACCCATATACAATTATTGCGCAATAAGGATGAAAAAACAAATGTAGAGATGCGCCTTCAAGTATAGCTTAACGACGAGCCACAAACTGTTTGGCAGTAAAAAATGTTTTTAAAAAGCCGACCTTAAACATCAGAAACCATCTGAAACATTATCGTAACAACATACAATTTTGAACGTTGTCAGCAGATTGACCCATCGCCACGTCTCATAAGCTAATTCTGAATCCATGGACATGGTTCATGTCAAAACAATGTATACGAACCAGACCACGATCTTCTGACCTCTCGTAGGGTTGACCCGCGTCGGATTGTGTCCAGTCACGCTCGCTGTTAGTGAACTTTGAGCATGACGTGAAACCCAACTCCGATGATAAACCACTGGCTTCTGGCTCACCAACAGACCAGCCTGCTGCTCCACGGGGCGGATGGACCAAAGGTCGCGCTCGCCCGGGGCAAGGGTCGCTAGGGGCGGTGCCGTAAAGGGGCCTGGCCGGCGAGCACCGGGGCCAGTGCCGCTCGCGCAGTGCCTGGGATAGAGATGGCCTCTGTCAGCGCTCCCCGCGCGCTCTGCCGTCTGGCCGGCCGGGTGCGACCCACTCTGTCCCGACCTGACCTGACCCGGTCGCTGTCCGGGGTCACCGCCACCCAACTACAACGACCGAGTGTCCGCAGCGGGACAGCTCTGATCTGGGTGCCCCGCGCCGGTCTGGCCACCCGCTCCGGGCCGCGAGCCACAGCCAGCCAGCCTCTGAGCGACCCAGTCTCCTCTCCCGGCGCTGACGCAGCCTCCGTCGGCTCCCTTGACGTCGCCATCGACGCCGCTGACGTCGTCGCCACCGATGAGGCTGGCCGGTGTCTCCGCGTTCAGTGGCGGGACGGCTCCGAGTCTTTGTACCCGTTCGTCTGGCTCCGGGATAACTGCCAGTGTCCGGCATGCTTCCTCGGCCACCCTACGTTCGTGCGCTCCCTGGTGCTTCGCGACCTCGACGTCAACACTTCCGTAGAGGCCTGCAGAGTGACCTCGGACGGCTCAGAACTGAGCGTGACATGGTCGGACGGTCACCAGGGAACCTACGCTGCCGAGTGGCTCCTGCTCAGATCGTTCCGTCCAGAGGAACAGAGGAGGCGGAGGGAGGAACACAGCGTGGAGAAGAGCCACTGGAACGCCTCCCAGATGTCCGGGAAGCTGCCCAAGGCTGACTTCCAGCAGGTGCTGGACTCTGAGCCGGCTCGGCTGGCGCTGCTGCTAGCGCTGGAGCGGTACGGCCTGGTGGTGCTGCAGAACTGCGGCTCCGAGTCCGGCCAGGTGTTGAAGCTGATCCAAGCCATCGGCTACCCGCACACCACCCACTACGGAACCACGTTCAAGGTGACCACCAAGGCCGACCCCATCAACATCGCCTACACGACCAAGCGGCTCAACATGCACGCCGACCTGCCGTACTACGAGCAGCAGCCGCAGGTGCAGCTGCTGCACTACCAGCGGCAGCACGGCGGCGGCGGAGGGCGCTCGGAGTTCGCCGACGCGCTGCACGTGGCTGCCGAGCTGCGCCGCCTGCAGCCGGAGGCGTACCGCGTGCTGGCAGACACACCCGTCGACTGGGTGAACGTCACCCTCCCCGGAGAGACCGGTCGCAGCCACCACAAGCTGTTCCGCGCGCCGGTGCTGCAGGAGGATGCTGAGGGCCGTCTGGTGGGACTCCGCTTCAGCCAGGCGCAGAGGGACTCCTTCTTCGGCGCGCCTCTGGGTGTCGTCGACCGCTGGTACCGCGCCTTCGCCCTCTTCAACCGGATGCTGAACGATGAGGAGTACAAGGTGAGCTTCCTGCCGCAGCAGGGAGACATGGTGATATTCGACAACACCAGACTCACCCACGGAAGGGAGGACTTTGAGTGTCCCGAGCAGGCCACACAGAGGTGCCTGGAGGGTGGCTACATTGGCCTGGATGACATCAGAGACCACAGGCGCACGCTGCAACACCGGCTCGGCAGGAACGAGTTCGGACTCTGAAGGGAGCGGGACGCAGTGGTTTTAGATGTCTTGAGCCCGGCTTGAGTCGCACCGATGTTATGATTTCATCGGTATCATCGATAAAATAGTCTTATCGATCAGAAGGAAACATCGCACAACCAATGCAACTTTGTGTGTCTTCTAATCCTAGCTAGTATCGAACCTTTGTCAATTGTCAATGCCTCCTAAGGTAGGAGGTGACAAGTTTCCTGTGACGCATTATCGGCACGTTTGCGTGACATGTAAAAAACGTGAGTTTGTTAATGTTACGCGCTAACAGCCAACATACGTCGCCATCAACCCGTGCCCAAGTCCACTCTGTAGTGCGTCGTTTGTTTACTCCGTAGCGACCGAAGCATGTGACCGATGCCAGACCTGCTGTCTATGTGTCTAAAGTCCAGACGGATGCTATCGTCTGGATATTGTCAATTGGGTGTCCGACTTGCATCGGAGCTAATTCGTGCGTGGATCGTTGTGGTTGAACGATGGTGACACGAATGCAATTATTTTGTTGTTATACGTATTTCAAACATGCGAAGTATCGATCGAAGCTGTGAGCTACATATAATGTGAATTAATAGATTATACTTATAGCGGTTAGGGATGACTCAATTGCCACTTGATCACATACCTAACTATTTAAGTTTTGAGGAGCAATAACTCCCTGATCTATAGCTTACAATCTATTTACTTCTATGGTAGATCATGGTGTAAATGCAATGGTCTTTTTAGTTGATGCTATCTTTGTTTATATCTATATTTGTTTGATTTTGTTCTTTAAAACACTGGTGCTGTGAAAATAAATCCGAAAACTGAGCTGGTTTGCAACGGGGCGTTGGTAATAAGTTTTCCGATAAGATTGATAAGTACGAGTTCACGCTCATCTCACTCGTTGTGAATGTGCTTCGTCGACTTCATCGTTTCGTGCATTGTAATTTTTTTTTTAGCTAGGATTGTATCCGCGATAGGCGGCTATTTAGGAGCGATGTCATAATTTCTTCGCTGAGCGTCTGATTTACATAGTTTCTTATAAAATAAGAAATTAAATGGAAAAATTAAACTTGAAACTAAAATAAAATGCACATTTATGTTCAAAAGCTGCACAGTTACATACGTCAAGATACGGTCTCACGACTTCAAGATACGGTCAAGATATTGCGGGGGGAACATGCCTTGCGAGGGGAACAAGTCGGTCGCTTTTTAGGATAATTCCCACATTCCCACATTTATAAATCCTAAAAAGTCCGCCGCCGCCGCCGCCGCCGCCGCCGTCGGGGCTACTCCCAAAAAGGCTTATTGCGGCGCCGTCGATTGACGCAGGAGGGTGAAATTTTGACGATTCGTGGGTCACGTAATTCAACAGTTCGTATTAAATTTTGAGCACGATGCGGCCGAGGGTGCGCCCGTGGCGCGTGCTCATGTGCGCCATAGGGTTAGCATTAGAAAAGGCAAAAACAAGCTATTGGCGCTCGGAAACGGTAAGGGCTACGGGGGTGAAATTTTCGCTACAAATCGGTCGCTTTTTAGGACATTGTTCACCATGGGCCGGGCCAGCCCAATGGGCCATGGGCTGGGCTGGGCTTGGGCTGGGCCCTCAAATATGAGGGATCGATGGGCTGTGGATGGGCTGGGCCAAGAACTGTAAAGTGGAGTCAGGGGCTCGCAACTGACACAAAAACTATAACGTCCTAGCTTATTACTGTGCAAGACTCAAAAACGAGTTAATAAAGCACGCATGCAATGTGCATTGTGCAATGTGCATGCTGCTTGCAAAAGGTTCTTTCTTTGCTACCTTTGGATACCCGTGTGGTGTCAATAATTTTTAATCCATTCATTTTTGACGGGCTGGGCCGGGCTGGGCTTTGACGCTTTAACCATGAATGGGCTCGGGCTGGGCCGGGCTGTGAATCCATGGGCCTGGGCTGGGCTGGACTGGGATTTTGCGGCCCGTGGCGAACACTGTTTTAGGATAACTCCCACATTTTGTGGCGACACTTAACTACGATATCTAACTGTTCATTCGCAAAAATACGAAGGCTGTAAATACCACTTGGCAATGGTAAACCCGGTCGCCAAGTAATGAGAAGTTGAGACTCAAGAGCCTGACCCAGTGTGCACAACACATCTCCAAATAACCGACAACCGCATTGCAGCATTGAGATATCCGGCGAACGATGAGGTAAGGCACTTACATCTTTGGTACAGATTAGCCAATATTACGGCGAATGAAGCAACAGCCAAGCGTGGTGGTCGGGGCGAGCGGAGAGGCGGAGGCGGGGGCGGGGGGCGGAGCCTCCCCGCCAGGTCCGGCCCGGAGCCGGTCTGAGCACCCGCCGCCGCCGCGGAGTGTTGCGTCTGCCGTTTCCGATCGGCCCTCCGATGTAGGCCGGCCGATGCGGCCGCCGCACCAGGCAAGGTCACACCGTGTCCGGTCGGGAGCCATGTGGGGGCGGCGATATAAGCGACGCCGACGGTCCGGTAGGTACAGTGCCAGTCCAGCGGTGGACAGAGACAGACAGACAGTGGGCAGACAGCTCAGCTCTCCTCAGCAGCCATGCAGTGTTCGATGACGTGGGCCGGTCTGCTGCTGGGCCTGGCGGTGGCCGTCACGGCGTCGGAGGTCAGCTCGGAGCGGCCGCCGGCGTCCAACGTCACCTCTCGGGCGCTGCCGGCCACCACCGGCCGGCTGCTGCAGACTGTCGACGAGCTGCTGACGGCGGCGCTGGGGCCGGCCGGCCGCGCCGCCGGGCCCGTCGGCGCTCTGCAGGCGCTGCTGGCCGCCGTGCCCATCAAGCTGGCCGGCCTGAAGGCGGCGCTGGTGGCCGCCGCGCCCGGCATCGCCATCGCCGCTCTGGTGATCGGCATCATAGCGCTGGCCAAGGTGGGCGCCCTCTACAAGAAGCTCGGCCTGTCGGCGTTCGACACCGTCCACGAGGCGCTGCCCAAGTTCGGCCATCCCGGCCACGGCTTCCCCGAGCACGGCGAGTACGACGGCTACGGCCGCTACGACCCCTCCGAGTACGCCTACCACGACGACAGCTACGACCACGGCGGCTCGAGTTACGCCGGCTACGCCAGCCGCGGCGGTCAGGCGGCGGGGCGGGTGGGCGACGGAGCCCCGGCGGCGCAGGCTCGGTTCGGTCAGACCGAGTCGAGGGTGGTGCGGCGCACCCCGGCGGCGGCGGAGGCGGTGCCGCAGACATGGAACTGGCAGTGATGTTTTGTTGTTATGACTTGTAATGTATGTACTATGTACAACACATCACTCACAGATACACATGTAGGTATGTGATTGTGAGCGTCTTCAAACATGCCTAACCAAAGATAGAATTATTTCTTGTTACGAATCCTTAGAGGATTATATTAACGATAGTTTGTAGCTTGCTCAGCATAAACGGCCGACCAGAATAGACACACAACTGCATCTGCTGTTTTTGGTTTATGATACTCGGTATTGAGACAAACTACCGTCTCAAATGACGTCCAATGCCGTCGCCGGGCCGGGTGTGCATGAGTCTGTTCGTCCACATCCTATGGCATGGTGGTCGAAAGGTCATTGGTGGTGGACCCTCGGTCAAGGGACGAACTGTGAGGGGTCAGATGGCAACAGCTGACGAAATAACGATAAGAACCGGACTGATCTGGGTTGAACCGGCTGAGTCCAGCACTAAGTGGACCTAGCTACACAAATCCGGTATCTTTTAGCCTGTATGACTTAGCAACTGCCGCGATAAGATGGCAGTGCCAGATGAAGGCCAGATGAAGGTCACGGAAGCTCGAGACCCAATCTTAAGATAGGGCTCGACAGTGACACATGACTCAACTACGAGTTGTTATTGTGTGACAACTGACAAGACTCAACTCAACTTGCTAAGACAATAAGTTGTAAGGCATAGAGTTGCACGCGACAAAATTAAGATAAAGATTAATGATAGTTTAAAATAGGTAAATTAAGATAAAGATTAATGATAAATTAAGATAAATTAAGATAAAGATTAATGATAAATTAAGATGAATTAAGATAAAGATTCATTCATGTTTAATTTATTCATATCTAATCTATAAATTGAAATGAAGATTCATGTGGGTAGAATTATCGGTTTAAATCCGATATGGACATATGGGATGCTGAGGGTTGATTCAGGTGCTGCCATGTGCAGCCTGAAAAATTGGCAACATGATCTACTTTGGTGCATTTAGAGCGGCATATCTTCTGTGTGTTTACAACACCTATTGCCCAACTTCGTCGGATATGTACTTGCTTATTGCTTGACTTGCATATATATATATATATGCTTGTATATCTATGGCCACTTGGAATGGCTGTTTGAGTTTCCTTTAAAAAGAAATGTTCAGTTTAAAGGACCCTCCCACCTTCAAAAAAGTTATTGAATTAACATAAAAACGATGTCCCGAGGACCCCAAAGGTAAAAATGAATATCTACCAATTTTCGCCGAAAAATATTCACTGGCTTCCAAGATATTAGACTTTCACTTTTGTTTACTTTTTGGGATCTCCGCTGTTCCTATAGCGACTTCATTAGGAAGCAACAATTTGACATTGTTTAAGTGCGGCATACGTTGTGCGCAAATCAGTACATATGTATATGCGTTAACGGTGGTTTTAGTATAAGATTTGAAAATCGGTAGATCTCCGCTGACGTCTAAAGTCTAAGGGGGCATTCAGATGCATTAGCCCCTTAGAATCTGATACTCGAAAGTTCGAAATTACCTAAATATCTCCGAATTATAGCAATTATCGATGTTGTGAGTGTCCAAACCGGTAAGTGCAAGCCAGCGAACCCAAATTGACTATCTCAATTCTCAACTCAAAACTAATGTTAGAACCCGCAAGTTGCTGGGGGGGGGGGCGTTAAACGCTCCCACTTTTTTCGCCGCGCTATAGCATAAAAATGGCGCGTCGCAGGCGCGCCAAATTCTGGGTACCTGTAGTATAGATTCAATCGAAGTTTATTGTGACAAAGTTTAAAAGAAATCAGTCGGAAAATTTTGAGATATCGAGGTTTTAGTGTCGTCATAATTTCTGAGTTTTCAACCAAAAAGCGGCATATGTTCAAAAAGTCATATAAAATCATAGGATAGACATATAGACATGCCGTAAACGCCATTCGACTGCCAATACCATGAGCAATCAAATGGGTATCTTCGATTTTCAGCTGTCGTTTCACATTTTCCAAAATCTTGAACTGAATCATGACAATTTTGCGTGACTACCTCACGACCATGATGCATGCATTTCTTAAAACGACTTTTTTGAGCCAAAAACGTACTCTCTCGTATGATAAAAAGAATGTCACCATCGTGTTCTACGCCCAAAATTACCCATAAAACAAATGCCATATACTGCAAATACCAGTTTTGATTTTCCGGGATATGTGCTCCTACCTGATTGACCTGAACTTGACCCTAGCTTATGTTTGATTTGACACTCTTTAGGCCTTTCATAAAGGATTGTGCGCAATTTTGACAGAGTTTATCATGAGAGGCGCCCATTACGAGGTTCTGAAGTTCATGCTACTGAGAGCCCGATTCCAGGTGTTTGACCTGACCTTGAACCGAACTGTGACCTCGAAATTCAGCTTTCAAGCACTCATCTGAAGCGTCTCGTTGCGTGCTTTCGTTTGCCGACTCGTGAGTTTTGCTGCGCCTATTGCTTCTCGAGTTATCGGCTGGAGACGTTTTATCGGACGGCACAAATGCGTAGTACCCCAGCAAACGGCGGGTGGCGAAATCCACCAGCAACTGCCGGGTTTGGGATGGTCACTTTCAGGCTAATTGTAGCAAATATTTCGTGA